ACACCCTAATGGATTTACCTTATTTCCAAAACACGCCAAACCACACACACACACACACACACACACACACACACACACACTTTCCTCAGACATGTATTGAAACAAACAAAGACAGAAAGGAGGAGGAGACGTCACCTTATAATGTAATAAAAGAGGTGTGTTTACTTTGTTACTGGGCATCACATCCAACTATTTCTACCAGCCTTTTACTTTTATGTGTTTGATAGCAGCAGGTGCAGCTTTGAATGCAACCAGCGTTTGTACTGCGCCTTTATTTCAATGCTTAATGTCAAACATACAAGCAAACAAAAAGACTAAAAAGACGAGGGAATCCCCTCCAAAATCAGAACAACCTCAACAACGTCACAGTCGTTGCCAGAGGGTCTGTTGTCTAGTAGGAGGTAGACTCTCTGATTTTTTGTGGTTAAAATCACAACCGCTAGACAGCAGTGTTGTGAATGTAAACTAAAGAGCTATAATGTTTGATGTTACAGAGACTTTAGATCAGATTTTATGCGTATTGTGGAGAGTTTTCCTAAAATAAATCCCAATATAACGCCTTGCCTACAATATATCGCAGTATATTGAATAGTAACTCCTGTCCTACCACATATCTGCCCGTATGCTATCCTATGGCACCCTAACTATCTCCCATCTACAAAATAACAAACACATAGAAACATTTCTTACAGAAATTACAGAAACAGAAAATTTCCCACTGTACTTGAACACATCTCCCAAATGCACTATTCTCCGCCATCCAGAAACAAAAAGAAAAACATGTTATGTGATTAGCTGTAAGGATGCACGAAATTCAGCTGCAACGATAACCGATAATCACCTGCTCAATTAGCGATAAGTTAACCAATAATTTCACATTTTTTAATTTTTAAAATAAGTTTATAACCTGGTTTTTATATAACTGAAGGTAAGAAAAGCAGAGAAAAGATGGATTATTTAATATTCTATAGCTAGGAGTTAACTGACACTATTATTAACAACAAACAAATCTTCAAATGTTCATTAATTTTTTTTGTTTTTTAGTAAAGTTCATTAAAAAATATGCGTAAGAATTCCAAATAAATGATTATTAATCCCACCAACCGCTTATTTGTCGTCGTATAATAATATAAATTTTGATAATCGGCCGTTCATTTATCCGTGCATCCTTAATAAGCAGCTTCCCCCCTCTGACATGGTAGCGCCCTGTGATTTAGGCTCGAAACATAATTTCAGTGAGCTGAAATAAAAAAAAAACAATTTTGTGTACTTACAAAATGAATTAAAGTAAAATAAAAACAGGAAACAGGAAACATTTTCAGTGAGTCAGTGTGTTTGTATTGTAATAACCTGTTCTGAACTTCTTGAGGACAAATAACCCCTTTATTATAATAAAGAAAAACCATAAAACTAACAATAAAAGCTAAAATGAAACTACCGAACCCACACTGAAAACTAATTAAAAACGAAATAGAAACATAAAAACACCACAACAACTCTAAATTAAGACTGAATAAACCAGATTATCCTGACATACAGACAACATGACAGCGCTGGCGTCTCGATTACATGCAAATAAACACTGTGGAAATAATGCAAAGGGAACTTAAAGCAACAAGAGATCCACGTGGCTCGTGTTGCTACGGCGATACGCAAACAGGCAGGAAGGAGGAATCCCATAAACTGTATATTTAAACCTGATGAGCTTTTAACAACTAACAACCGAAAATACGACAGCGGCTTTGCCACGTTCAAAACTCCCCCAACGAGTACACATAGTCGTAACCATGTTGTTATTATATATATATTCTTTATGAAAATGTGCACATTTAGAACATTTTTGAGGACTATGTTGACATTTGAAGTCACATTTGTAGAGATAGTTGCTACCCCTTCACTATACTTTGTTTTGGTCAGTTGATTTCACTGTTTACTGACTTTAAAACACACCCACTAGTTAGAAATATGCATTTTGCAGCAGGATAGTTTCCAATAGCGACTACATTTATATGAAAAACGTGTAAAAATCGCGATTAGAACAACAATTAATGCTGTATTTTAACAAAAGGACTGTCCAAGTCCAAGTTAATTTGTATTTTGCTGATTTATTTCAAAATAAAAGTCTTTTATGGACTTCTATCTTATCTAGATTTTAAATAATAACTACGATAAATCAATATCACTATATAAGAGTACCGGGCGAAACCAAGTGTACAGTCGGGAGGGGGGAGTCACACATCTCACGTATTCTTTAACAAATGGAAGTGAATTGAAATGAATAGGAAATAATAAGAGACAGCCGGTGACAGCTCTCAAAAAAGGACAGAATTTATCCGAAATTACCTTTTTAACTCAAACAGATGATAACAAATTCCTTTTTTAAGTGCTGTTTTTCATATTCATGGTGCCACTTCCACCAGCAGCACATAAGATCAACTGCAGCTAATTAATACAAATACAAGAACTTTACTGTGAACTATATGGAAATGTGTCTTTGGTTTCACCATAAATGTCCTAAAAATTAAAAAACGATACACAATATCACATGCAAACTGCAGCAAAGTCCGTATCCTAGTCCACTGGATCATACTTATGATATATAAGATTATATAATTCAGCTTTTTGGCTGTTATCTAATTAAGTGTCTCCTCCATCAGTAAACTGTGTGATTCTGTAGCTCAACAAGATGAACAGATCGGTGACTCAAATCAAGAGAAACCATCTTCAGTTACTGGAAAATTTCCCACGTACACATTTTTTGCATGTGTCGGTTGATAGTGATCAGCTCTGATTCAGGATGTAGGTAGTGAAATGTAAAAGGTGTCAGATAGTTATTTAATCAACATTTTATATCTGCTGCTGCTTACTTTTTTAGGTTTTAGCTGCAGCTTAGAGTCAATAAAAGGTGATTAAATAAGTACAATTACTCTTTGAATGTTAGTTATTTATAGCTTTAAATTACTTGTGAATGCAGAAAGTTAAACCTTTATTATATTAAATAAGGGATTCAAAAGGACAGGTGATAAATACGCTTAAAACCAGACATTAAAGATGATTGAATTTAATATATATATATGACCAATTTACAGCAACTGACGTTCAGCTACAGTGAAATTTACAGTAATAACATCAGCAGATAAGAATTTATAGTAATATTTAAACTAATAGATTCTGGATTTCAGACAGAAGTGGATAAAAAAACACTAAACATAAAACTGTTGCTATTATGTGTTATTTATGTAATTGATGATAAAGATAAACTGATATGTTTTGACAAAATTATCTCAGCTAAGCTTCCCCTTAATCCTTAACAGACGTTAACAGGTGCTAACTCTGATTTAGCGGTTATTAAGTGGTGTTTTTCTCCAACGTGACCTTTAACCCCTCAAACCTTTTTATATATGTCGTCAAATTAGCCTGTAGTGCTCAAGGGTGAAGAACTTTATCTTAATATAAACATGTATTACCTTGGAGTCGTAGGCGGACTGCTGGATGACCTCCGGCGCCATCCAGAACGGCGTTCCCACGAAGGTTTCCCTCTTGATCTGCGTGTCCGTCAGCTGACCGGCCACCCCGAAGTCCGCCAGCTTCACCTGACCGTGCTCCGACAGCAGGACGTTGGCGGCTAAACAGAGAATTTATATCATTATTATCTCGGATTTTGGTTCGTGACTGTATTCAAACATTTGTTTCTCAAAGAGTTTTGCAAATAAAACAAGTAAAATTGGAATTTCTATATAATTAAATCAACTTTTTCAAATTATTCTAATTACCAAAGTGGTTGTTTGTAGTAAACTGATCAAGTGTTTCCAGTTCTACCACCAGGGGTCGCCAAAGTCAGAAATTCTAACACACAATGGCTTTAAAATTGTGAATTTCACCACCAAGTTTACATGTTAAAGTGAATAAAAGTAACAGGAAGTACTGCAAAGCCTGTAAAACACTTGTATAGGGCAACAAAACGTTAAAGAATTATACATATTATCAGTTTGAATTCAACTAAAAGCTCCCTGCACCAAACTCCCTTTAAAAAACATCACATATTTACAATTTCTAACGTGTCCGTAAAAACACATCAACTCTAGAAACAGGAGCTAAAGAGGGATAGTTAATAACAGTCTTCTGGTCAATTCGGCATCAAATATAATCAATAAAGATAAACTGTATTCCATACAAACTGCACATTTTGTTGCCTCCTGCGCTCTCTACAGTGGGAAAAGAGAGCAGGAATGAGAGGATGTTTTACACAGAGGTCAAGGAAAAGTGTTTAGGAAAGGAAACAGGGTGTAATTTCTAGGATTTTGGCAAATGTTTGATATTTTCTGAGGTTGTGTCTCCATTTATTTTACTTTTCTCTGTTTCCTGTTTTGTTTTTATTTGTTTTGTTGTCTTATAAGTACTTTTATTAGACAAAATGAAAAGAGAGTGCTTATACTGCCAAAGCAAACAGATATTAAACATTATTAAAAGCTGTAATAATAATAAAATGTGTATACATTTGTACAATCACAAACCCTTTAGGGCACTGCAACACAAATATGACTTTAACAAGCAGACAAACAACAACAACAACAACAACAGTTAATTTCAACATGAAAAACAAGAAGTATTTAATTTCCTCTTTCTTGTCTTTTCAGGCCAACGTTTGGTTGCTTTAATGTTATTAATTATTAATTTAAAATCAAGCTTAGATTACAAATACAGCTACGTATCTCCGGGCGATTTGTTATGGCGTATGTACGTTATTATTATTATTATAGTAGTCATCTTGTTACCAAAAAACGCCTCAACAAAACATCTAAACAAACTGGAGGAAGGAGGGGTCTTATGACAGATGCTTTTCAGTTGCATTATGGGAAGTGTAGTGTTTTTTAAGCTTGACACATGCTACGACAACTATTTCTACCAAGTATGACGTCAAATTGATTATGTTGTATAAATGTTGTGTATATAAGAAATATACTAGGATAAAAAATATATAATTAGCTTACTGCACATACTCAACTGCCCCATAATGCATTGCGTCTCTTCAGACTGCTGTTAATTTTTTGTTATTTCATCACTAAATTCAAATGTTTCCAGAGTTAAGAAGCTCCAGAAGCACCAGCAGAGGAGGCAGCTAGCAACATTTCTATCTAACTCCACCCAATTGTTCATTTAGTAGGGAGTACATACTGATTGATTGGCTGTCTGTCTCTTTTAGAATTTATTTTTTAAGTAATTTTACTTGTTTATAAAGCTTTTAAATGACCTTTCTTTCATTTTATGTTCCAGCCAGATCACCGATGTTCCCTTATGTGTCCTATAAAAGTGAGAGTGAGCCTTTCGTTTTGTATTCCCATAAACTGAGGAACTCACCGCCTCTGGATACTAGAATGGCGAGCTCTCTCTGTGTTATTAAAAGGAAATTAAAAACCTTTTTTAATCTGGGTTTCAGTTTGGAGTAATGTTAGTTTTTAGGTTTTAATCTTTTTATTTCATTTTATTTTTAAGTGTTGTTTCTTTGCTTTGCACTTTGGGCTTTATGTTTGTATGAAAGCAGAGTTGAGTTATTTTAGAAGTTAGGGGTTGGGTGCCTTGCTCAAGGGCACCTCGGCAGTGCACGGGAGGTGGAACTGACAACTCTCCAGCTGCCAGTCCACACTCGATACTGTGCTCTGTGCTGGACTTGAACCGGCGACCCTCCGGTTCCCAAGTCCCTACAGACTAAGCTACTTTAAGTTAACTAAGTACATTAGTATGTGATTTCAAACACACCCTAAAAGTCAGAATATCTGCAGCAATTTTGTTACAAGTCCACAAACTGAATACTGAACTCACTAATTACTATTTTAAATAAAAAAGTAGAAGATTTGCGGCTACACGCTCCATAAGCAGCTGAGTGTTTTACCTTTAATGTCTCTGTGGATCTTCTTCTCAGAGTGCAG